AAACAAAAAACCTACAGGGAAAAACTAATTTTGACATCTGAGCTGCAACCATCATGATTTCCTTTTTTAAATAATTAATTTTTCTAATTCATCTTTGGTAGTGCTGGATATAATGTGAAAAACTCTTAAAATGTCAGATTTACCTTTTCTTCTTTTTAAAAACAGCTGAACATAAACATATAAACATTTTTTATCTGGAGTTATTAATTATTAAGACACCCAGCCGTGCCCTCCCTCTCTCACCAAGGTACTGAGCCAGTTCCAGGCTATAGATCAGCTGTAGCAGGTGAGCAGCATGGTTCCCGACCGCCAACTTTTTTAGCTCCACCCAGATTCGCTCTCCCGATATAGCGCCCAGTCCGTGACCATTTTCCCTGATGGCAGTCAGTGTCTCAGACTCGTGGTCACCGGGCTCCGAAGCAACTCGGCCGTAAAACCTGCGACAAAATGATGGGAGTGAGGTGGTTAGTAGGCTCACGTCAAACAAGGAAGACAATCTGCTTTTTAAACTTCACAGTCTCAAGTAGATACAAAAAGAAATGAGAAAGTTACCTAAAATATCGTAGTATTCTCAGGTAGTCCTCTTTGATCCTTTGTTCAGCGCTGCCAACAAACCGCACTTTACGGTTCTGCAGGTCCTCATATCCACGATAATAATCATACAATGTGCCGTCCAGACCTGTTATAGGAAGCAGAGTCACACAACTTGTCACAAAAAAATTGGAATGCAAAAACAATACTTTTTGGTTGCAACTGGGAAATTCAGACCGACTCTTCTTCTAGTTCTCTTTAATTTGTTTGTTTTTACATTGATTTCGCATATGAAAACTAATTTAAGCTTGCATGGCAGGTTTGAGATGCACATCACTGATGTTTTGACATTTTTAAATATCAATATAGCAACATAATTTCTGACATTTTAAGTACTTCCAAAACTGTTTTAATGTGTTTATTCTCAATACAAACTCAAGTTCTCTGCTCTGTGATTGCCAAGAAAATTCTGGACAACCTGCTCGAGTGCTTCCTGTGGCTTAAGCTTCCTTTTGAACTCACTGTCAAGCATCAGTTAACAGATTTCAGGAAAAACACCAAGAACACATTCCTAATTTTGGCTTCACTTTTCTGGAGACCAGATTTATTTCTTAAATGGTGAATCTGTCCCATTATCACAGCTGTACAATACTTGAAACATCATAATTAAAAAAAAATAAAACGTGCTAGATGAAAATGGTTTTTAGATTTTGGGTGAAGGTGAAGGTACAGGTGAAAGAAGCTCAGTGTTATCAATTCTTTGTACAGTCCATTTTTAGGCTCAGTGGAGAAGAAGGGAAATTACCCAGAAACATGGAGTTAATGGTGAGGTCTCTCCGCTCAGCGTCTTTCTGCCAGTCAGTTGTGAATTCCACCTCTGCATGACGTCCATCAGTCTGAACATCCACTCGCAGTGTGGTCACCTCAAAGCTCTCGTTGTGCAGCTGCAAACACCCAATAAAGGAAACACTCATCAAGATCATCCTGTTAGTGGGCTGCTTATTTATGCAATGCATCAGGGCCGTTCAACCATTACAATCTTTCCATTAAGATTTAAGATTTGACTGATCAGACTGATGATGCAGCTGGCTGCTCAGTGAATCATCACAATCTTTGCTCACGTATTTACTTTATATTTGCACACTTACTTTATTCCACCATTATAACTGACCCTCACATGACCACGTGGTCATAAACAGATGTGAAGAATCTGGACAATTACACTTTTAGTTTGTAATTCTGTAGGTTATTTACCTTAAAATATAAAACAGCTACTGTATGAGACGAACTTTTTGATTTGTTCATTTAAATTTTAAAACATTTAATTCTTAATCCTAATTATGAAGAAAGCTCATTCAGCCTAAAACCTTGTTTGACTGGCTTGTTTTTTTTTCATTTGGTTTTTATTTTAAGAATCATCACAAGTGTTGATTTGGACAAACTAGCTCTAATATTTGCGATGCATTTTTAAGCTTCACTAATTCTTGCCTTGTTAACTCACATGACCTCCCCTTCACCCATATTTACCATAAACACCAACTCTAAAATCTGAACCTCATGCGAATCTTTAAAAATGACACCCAGCATCTATCTATAGAGTACACTTCAAATGTAGCTGTCTAAATACTTATTATTTTCTTAAGTGCATTTTATTTTCTATTAGACAAAAACAGACAGAAAATATACATTTTCTAAGAAATCAGTAATAAAGTTATTGTTCCTTTCAAACAACATTAGCTACCATAACTATACCAGGACAGCAAGTTTGGTTAAGCAGTCGCTGACAGTTAAGTTTAACACTGTGTTCAAAACAGCTTTTAGCATTATTTAGACAAATGAAAGACTTCATCAGCGTTACACAGCAGAGCCTCTTACTCGTGCAGTGATAGTCCCGTGCTTCTCTCCTTTATTGTTGATCATCCTGATCCCAGCCGTTTGAAACATGTGCTTCATCTCCTCTGGAGTGGCTGTGGTAGCAAAATCCACATCTTCAGGCCGCTTCCCAGACAGCAGATCCCGCACAGCACCTCCAGCTATCCTCAGCTCATGCTGGTGTTTCTCAAACACCTCTGGAAAAACCGTGCAAACACACTCAGGAAACTTTTCAGAAGTTGTGCCTGGAGGTTGTTTTGACCTCTGCAGTGTATTTGCTATCTTGCAAATCACCTGATAAGTTTAAAAATTTTAACTATTTCATCCTTAGTCTGTTAATAAAACAGGGAGTTTTACATCTCACGATCTCTTTCTCGTCTAAATATACCTTTAAAAAAAAGGGGGCAAGTTTTACACACTGCTTTGGTCCTGAAGCAGACATTCTGACACAGAAGAGAAAGAACAGTTGCATCATCTGTGAAGCACTGCATCAAAGATGCTAAAGTGAAGTTTGAAATGCAGCCATCATCACAAATATCAGTTAAATCAGTCACTCTGGGGTATGTTCTGTTTTTGATTAGTTCACTATCATGTTTTACTGACGTGACTCCCACTTAAATCCAACTCTGCTTTTCATACCATCAAAATATGTGAAAAAAGGGTCTATGGCTGTTTTAATCAACAGGATTTATTCAGGCAGGTTGAGGGACAACATCAGGGAATGACAGCTTCTTATAACTTGGTGACTTTTCACGCAAACGTTGAAAACCTATTTGGCCCGGCTTCTTCAAAATAACATCCACAGGCTATTCAATCATTCTGGCATAAATGAAAAGTCAGTCTCGCCTCCAACCAGATTAAAATGCAGCAGCTCTGCTTCTACCTCTCTACATGTTTTATAATGTGTTTTAAACGTTTTAAATTATTTTACTAGTCACTTTTAAAGCAGCTGAGGCCCTTCTGGTTGCTCTAAAGTCAAGACTTAAATCTAAAGGTGACCGTGCTATTGCCATCACAGCCCCAAGCTTTCGAAAACAATCTGCCCAAGGAGATAAGGTAAAATTGGTGACTACTTGAAATCACTAGAAAAAACACATTTTTATAAACTTGCTTTTGTGACATCATTGATCTCTCTGGTTTGTCTTTCGCCCTCTTATTGCTGCTTTATATTCTCATTTGGTTTTTAATTCTCTTTTGCTTTCGTTCAAGGAGCTTGTGTTTCTGGTACTGTTTATGCACGTATGTATTTCTGTCTGTAAACACGATAGCTCAAAAGTTTGACATTAATTATGATATCCATTAAATTTTGGCTTAGACCCACTGAGGTCTTCAAGGTCAACTTAATGACTTGTTGGTCATAAACTGACAAAAAGCTTTATAACTTAGAAACTATGATTTTTACAAGTGTGGTTAGCACTGTATAAAGATTTAGAATTTCGTGTCCCATTTGGGCTTTAAACCTCTCATTCAAGGTTAGTAGATTGATCTGAAGGTCAAAACAATAATAATGCTACACAGAGCTATTTAAAAGTGTTTCTTACTGTCCAGCGAGTGAGCTGCCTTGGTGGAGATTTGGGCTCTCAGAGTGCTTCGTGTGTTTTTTGGCTCTTACAATATAATACGTTTCTGATGCAGTGCTTTTTCTGTCTTAATATTTATTTTCTTTTTAAATCCCGTTTTATATTTGGTCCCAATTTCCAAGCTTTCTGTTTTAATACTAAATAAATAAAGCAATTATTACTATCAACATAGAGGAACCATCATCAAACCCTTCTTTCCGGTATAGTAAACTCAATTTCTCGCCATGGAAGCGCAATGCATTAAAACAATAAACCTGTACCTAATAAAAAACCTCGATGTTGAATAAAAACTGCATTAATAATTAATTGTATAAGAAAGTAAGTAACAGACGACGGGCGGTCTTCGTTACTTAACTGCTCTCCGAGTGTCCCCATTTATTTTTAATAGGAAGTGATCAAGTTGTCAGTCACTCTGTCATTGTGCACGGGTATTAACATTTCACAAATAGGCGAAAACTCAGAGGTTTAAGTGACCGTGCAGCTAGCACGTGTCCTTCCGCAGCTGTGCCTCACCTGCCAATCCATTCAGTCCATCAGTGAACAGGGACTGGAACTCGCTGGTCTTTAGCTGCATGGTAAACAGGCTTCTCCAACACAAACTTGCTCTACCACTCACACGAGGACTCAGTAACCTGCTCCACATCTGCACAGACAAAAGACACGTTGTCACGGGCTGCTGCTTGGTTGTGTATCACTACTTCTATCGAGCTAGCTAGCTATGAGTCACTGAACGCATGCTCCTGCGCTCGAGCAGCTCTCGTGAACATTTCACGTTGATGTTTTTCCATGCCAACGTATGTGTAACCAAAAACAACAGACAAACTGACCTACAACTTAACAAGGAGATTATATGCGCATAAATCGCCACTATTTCCCATAACACCGTCCTGTTATCTCTCGTGAAAGCTGGCCGGAAGAGTTTCCATACCGGGCACTTTACTAGCCAATAGCGCGAGGTTTCGTCAGGCAGTGTTTTTAACGAACGTGCAACAACAAGTCTCGCGAGATTCTGGTTTGAAGTTAAGGGCGATTGTCTGTCAGATTCTGTGCGCTGTCAGATTTAGTAAAGGGGGCAGAAGTGATGGCTAGGGTGGAGGTGGCACCGCTCCGACCGTGGACCGACTTCTTTCCGGGCTCAAATAGATTCGCAAAACCAGACAAAGATTTTACGAAATGGAACAACAGAGTCGTCAGCAACCTGCTTTATTATCAAACTAATTATCTGTCTTTGGTCACCTCCGTTTTCCTCCTCGTCGGGTAAGTAATGTTATATCAGAGAACTTCGTCTTTTTTGTTTATTTACCCAGCTCGCATAAAGTACAATGACTGTGATGCACTGCTATTGTTATATTCTGAATATGAACTTTTATTTCTTTGGTGCCAGAACCAACGACCGATCATTAAATGAGAATGTAATTTAAGCAGTGTTAAAATGCACATATATTAACTCTATAGTTGAGAAACAGCCTGCGTTTGTGGGGGCTGCTCTAAACAGTGAAACAGGTATCTGCAAACAATTTTGAGAATGGACTTAAGTAGAATAACTTAAAACAAGATCCATGCACAGACACGTGCCTATGCAAAGGAATTTTCTGAAGTCGTCTATTATCTTGTAACTACATACAAGGTAGATGTGACATATATTATCTCTGATCTAAAACATCCTGGCTTTGCTTCTCACTACCCCCCCCCCCCCTTCTAAAGCCCAGCCTGCTAAAAATAATGATGTCCACTGAGCTGTGCCACAACACTGTTGCTGTGGTCATGAAAGCCCCATAAGCCTTCTGGTCAGCTGTTATATTGCAGATAGCACTGGTGATAAAACAGCAACTTAATCAGAGGCCCCCAGTCTCCTGATTAGTGAGCACTGGAAAATTTGTCAGGGAGAACTTTGACACGTCTGGTTTTTCAGACGTGTCAAAGTTCAAACAAGTTGGACAGAATGGCTTAACCACTTAACATCAGAAAACCCTGTGATGCTATTTCCATTCAGTGTAGAGCAAACAGTCTCTGTGCTGTGTGTTTGTGAAAGTCAGTTGTTTTATAGTGTTATTGTATATGATATATGATAACTCGGAGAAAATAAATCAGTGTAATATTATACTGTTTGTACGGTTTGAAGGCATTTTTGCAAGCTTACCAAAGAAGTATTAAAAGTCAGTGTAGGCAGATTAAGTAGGGACTATGTGCAGTGTACTCAGTATTATACCTGTAGACCAAACCTACAAGAAGAAGAGGATTTTCAGGATTAGAGCAACATTCCTACAAATTAGCAAGAAATCAGCTCTCCATGTTGACTAAACAATAGAGCTAAATATGAGGAAGTAGAGCTAAACCGTCAAAGTATAGATGAGGTGACTGTAACAAGACATTAAAAGAAAAAGTCACTGCAAAAGGAAAAGTTCCAAGTAAAAGTACTACAGAATGCCCAAAGAGCCTCTGTGGACTTTGTGGAGATTAACTTTTCTGCTATAAAAGGACGAACATCTGCATATGACAATGAGTTGATCATGCTACATTTTAACCGCTTCCACCTTCATCAAGCCGTGTTTCCTGAAGTTTTCTTGAGCTTTTTTGATGCCAGTAATCCAACAAAGCCTGACTAAGTTGCTTAGCAGGCCACTAGCCACATTTACTGAGGTCATGGACTTGGCCTGGTGGCATCACTGTCGTCGTGCCAAGGCTGGATCTATCACAAAGCAAATATGTCTGCACAGGCACAAGAGATATCTTGATGTCTTGATGGAGATGAGAATAGAATGCTTCAATCTGCTGATTTATTTAAACCTTAGACAATGTGATTATATCAAATTTGGACAATGAGAAGTGTTATTGTGTTTTGAAAATGTAATAAATGCTCAGATTGTCCTATCCTGGATTTGTAAGATTTCAGCCTCACAAAAGTTAATTCTATTTTCTGTTCCATAGTGCTCTAAATGTTTTTAGTGTGTGAGACATCTGAGCCGCCGACGAGCCAGTTTAGCAGCCCTGCTGTTGAAGAATGTGGTTTGGCATCTTTTGCACTGTCTGTAGTTTCCATGAAACAAGAAAAAGAAAAGGATATCATGTGCATAGCAGTATATGTTGCTCCAAGTATTTAAATCGTTAAGTGTTATCAGGGCCTTCACACATGCATGAAGGCATGCACATGTGCGCTAACACACCTTGATACCATCACTGATTCTGCTTTTCCTCTTTAGCCCTGAGAATATCCACAGCACAGTTTTCCAGTCCATCTTGAATGTGGTCAGCGCAAAGAGGACAGCTCTGGTTTTGCTTATATGCAGTTTTAACTTGCATTTGTGGATGCACCAGTTTAAAATTTATTTCTCATCAGTAGTTTTTAGAAGTGTTCCTGTGCTATTATGCAGTGTTGCGCAAGGGTCTGAAGAGGTCACAGCTAACTCGGTGACACCCCCACACTTTTGGACTGTCTTCTCTGAATCTTTTAACAGCAACACTTCGGGCAAACTCAACCTGTTTTGGATGCTTGTTTTCTATCAAGTCATATTTCTAAGTTTTAGTGTGAAATGTTCCACCAGAGTTGTTTGGGTTTTTTTGTTTGTCTGTTTTTGTTTTGTTTGCATTTCACAACTTTTACATTTTTCTTTTATGAAACAGGTTTAGTGGCATCAGGTTGCAAACAGCAAGGGGCGTTTCTCAGTTTCAGTGGAAAAATATTAATCATCCCAAGTGTACACACACTTATAAGTATTAGGGGCACATTAAGAAAAATGGAGTTGTTTCAAGACAAACTGCCACGTTTGCCTGTGTACATGAGTTAGTGATCAGCCAGCGTGTGATACAACATACATGCTCTGATATTGAAACTATCGATGCCCTACGAACTGTCCATTACAAGCTGTTTCAAAAGAGAAATCATTCCCTTCATTGTTGCTAAAACTGATTCTGAAGTAGTTTCACCAACTCAGAGGGCAGAGCAACCGTGGCATTTTGTCTTGAACAACTGTAATCTCCACATTTCGACTTTTTTCTCGAAATAGAATTGCGACTCTAATCTTGAAATTTTGACTTTATTCTAATTCTTTTTATTCGCTAAATTTTTCTTGATTTGCCCCTACTGCTGTTTCGTACAATTAAACTAATCTGAGATTTGATTTTTGTAAACCAATCTGATCCACTCAGCAGTTGCTGTTGCACACACAGCATCTGACCACTTGATGGAGCCAGTTAGCACACAAGAACAGCGCCTGTGCTCCAGCTGCATGTCAGATTCAAGATTCGGGACTGTTTATTGTCATTATGCAAGCATAACGACATTAAGGCAAAAAAAAAAAAGAGCCTTAAATCACATAAATATACTGACAAAATACATTATATGCAGCATGTACACAGTGAAAGTGGGCCTTTTGCATGCTTGGACTGAACATGAGTTATTTACTGGCTGTGTATGTCTGTGTATACCTGAGTGTCATAATCGTGTGAAGCTGAGCAGTAGAAAAGCGCACTTTACGCAAGTTATTTTACATATTATAAAATGCACATAAGGAGGTATAACCCGAGGGGTAGGACCTGGAGTTGGGCAGACGAATATTGCACACAAGGGTTGTACGTCGTTACCATGGCGTCAAGTTCAGCAGTATGCCAAAGCTATTTAAACTTGCCCTCATATGTTCTATGCTGCTGCCTTGCAGGATCCTGAAACCTCTGGAGACGCTCATAGCCATAGTCGTGGTGTCGGTCGTGTTCGTGGTTTCGGTGTGGGTGGGGGAGAACGGAGCTGCGATCAACAACTTTAAGAAGCAGAAACCTTCAGCGTTCATCATTTTGATCATGGTTACCAGCTGCATATTGATTTCCATGCTGGGGAGCATCTTGGTATTCATGTGGGCCATCACTTTACCCCTGACTTGTAAGTTTGGCTTTCAGAGGGGATTGGGTGATTGAATGTCTAATAATTCTTCAGAGCATAATGATCACTGCATTTGTGACATCATGAAATGTTTCAAAATCAATGAAACACATTTTCCAGATGCTCAAAGTGTGATATTACACCTGACATTTTTCTACGGGTTTGTTTTTCAGTAATATTTGCACATGCTTCATGTCGCAAACGCAATATGCAGAATAAGCTGGAGAACAAGATGGATGGATTTGGACTGAAGAAGACGTTTATGGGCATTCTGCTGGATTCTCTGGGTCAGCAGGAGGAAACCATTCAAAAGATAAACAACTTTCTGAATTAAAAGTTAAAGAGTGACTGGATTTGAGAAGAACCAAATGCACATCTGTGCGCCAAAGATTTTGACTTTTTTTTTTTTTTTAATTTTGCTTAGATTTCATACGTTTGTCTCTCTCAGTCTAAACCCCTTGAAGTTTCATGCACAGCTTGTGATTTAAAATGAAAGATTGTTACCTCAGGGCTTCTGTCACTCTACCCAGAACTCGTCAGGGTACTTTTTTTTTTTTCTTTCTCCGAACAGTGATGAGGGCGTGTGAGTGCAGCCTCACATCTCTGCTATGCAGTGTGCAAGTGTTCCTGTAAAACCAGCTGCAGACTTAACCCTGGGTACGAAATCTGTGTTCAATCATTCTCAGAAACAGCCGTCAGCCCTGTTTGTTTGTACTCAGCTAAAATTGCGAAAGCAGCACGAGTGTTGCCTTTTAACAAAGAATGAAGAGTGCACGCTCAGTTTAGCTGTACTGCCAAGAAGCTCGGAGGCTGGATTGAATAATCTGCTCACGTAAAATGTAACACCAGCTTCAGTCCACCAGCCCACCCGATGCTCATCCAAATAAAAAGTAGACAAAAGAGAGAGGACTGCTGTGTCTCAAGTCAAACTGCTTTGTCAATATTGTAAAATAAAGACTTCAAAGGTGACCCGTGACCATCAGTGTTCCCTCTGAATCTTTGAGTGCTTCATCTTGACAGTGATGGATTGGTTAACTTTACTTTCCTCTCCACTTACCCCAAATGCTAATCAGTGGGCTTGCAGTAGATTATAGTGCAGAGAGCTGACAGTAGATTCATCTGCACTCACTCACCTCCAAACCTGATTTAGTCGCTGTGTCAGCTTCTCTTTTATTGGATTCCATCTAAAATTGATTGCAGATAACAAGAATCCATCCAGAACCTAATGCTCTGTTATTCGGTTTGAAGCGGCAGCGAGGGGAAAACGAGAGGATGGTCCATGTTAACCCTTTGCTTTCTAAGTTTGCTGTAGATGATGATCTCTTCGCATTGCTCAGTTAGACTCAGCTGCTGGGTTTCCCCTCCTTTTTGTACTTCAGCACTGATTTATGTCCTGCGGTGCTTCATCAGCATCCATATTGTGAAACTTGGACGAGTGAGTATAAGCACCGGTGGCAGTCTAGTCAAGTAAAGTCATGTCTCAGAGGGCACAGTGGAAGCCCTTGTTCTAGCTGCTGATGCAGCTGCTGCGAAGATCGTATCGGCACGTGTGCTGCTGCACACCCAACAGGTGTGTGTGTGTTTGGTCTTTTCTTCTTCACAGTCTCTCCAGGAGTGAGGCCTCTTTTACACTCTACAATACCAAAATCTTGTTTCTGTGCATTTCTGGGCAAAAATCAGCTGCTTTCACCTGCTGTGCGCTTCTTGCACGGGTCACTGAGCAATGTACAGTACACAGTGCTTGCTTTTGCATGGTTACGCGTACTTGCTGTGCTGCCTTCCACTTGACCCCTGCATCCCCACCCCCCTCCTTTTCCCTGAGAGGCTTTGGCTTGTGGCTAGCTAAGCTGGTTAGCTAGCCTCATAACTCAAACAGCCTGTCATTCAGCAGAGCTCGGCTGCTTAGACCTACACCACAGTCGATCATGTGACCCATTAATGATGACCCACCATGACCTGTGCAGTCTGCTGTATCCTCATGTGAGCTGTTCCACCTTCCGGTTTGTCCATGGGCTTTTTGTTTTTTTTTGTTGTTGCTGTTGCCTCCTTTTGAAGGAAGAGACAGGAATGAGCTGTGAGAGCATGTGACCTGGTCAGCTAATCCAGTCGTTCACCTTTCATAGCTTGTCAGAGTCATTACTCCCTGAATCCTGGGGAAGTCGCAGGATTCGGGGAGTAAGCACAGCATGATTTCAAGCCATTTTAATCTCAGTTTGGCTGAGCCCTGTGGCTGCTCAGTTTAGTGTTTCATGTGTGACACTTCCTGTGTGTGCTACCATTGGGAACATTGTACATTCTATATTTAATAATCACTCAGTGTACAGCTGGTCTATTACAGTCTTTATCATATAACTGCCTGCACTGACGAAAATCAAGGATTAATGAAAAAAGTGAAACTGAACTAAAACATATTAGCTGCGGGGCTGTAATGCGGAAACAAGAAGCTGAAAGGTCCTAAAACGGACAGCCATGGAGCTTAGGGGATTTGGTGAGTTTTTCTTTTCCTTGAACTTATTTACACAAAAGAAAATGTATACAAAAGATGGACACCATGCCACCATGACGCCACCCATTGTTTATTTAAGTCCAGTTGTCAGGCATCGTGCGTGTGTTTCCGCCATTGCTATTGTCATTTTGGAAACAGACTTGCTGAACGAGGGGGGGGGACCTGACAGAAAATCAACGGACAGTACCCACTCATGAGTTGTCATACACAAAATATGACCGTTATACTGGTTATATTACCTATATAAAGCAAGGCTGCCCAGCAGGCGGGTCATTTTCCACTTGGATCACTGTCCTTCTGGAGCTGTTTGAAATTTCTGTTCCCATTGTTGATTGTAACACATTTGCAGTTTATTATAGTTCATTTCAGTATTTTCACACATTGCTTGTAACTGCCACTTGACCTCATTCAGTTGCAAACTGATAGCAGACTGACTCCATCTTATCATTTTATCACCACATCAAGGCACCAAAGTCTTTTTGAAGAAGCCAACTGACAGCAAGTGGTCGTAGACATGGTCCCTGTCTACGAAGCGACCCCATCAAGGACACGAAGTGAGGAGTTCATTACACACATTCATGATAATTTGGGTTGTGCTGCAGTCTCCAACCACTCTCTTCCCTAGTTTGCCCCAAGGGTTGTTTTTCCCCATAAGCCTCTATGCAGAATGCAGGTCTAAGGCACTTCAGGATCCAGGAGCTGTGTCGATCATTTATGTACAATCTATGGTTCTCATGGTAATCTAATACACTATTCAACACTGTTTAGTGCAGGTTTAAATCAGAAACCATTCAGTCAATGAACTTGTAATACAGATATTTGATGCCAGTACTTCCAGTACTTGACAGGTTTCAATACTTTGCGTAACTGACGTTTCCATTAGTCACACAGGTATTGGAGTCCATGTACAGCCTTAATCCACTCTGCATTACAAGAGTTTTGTGTGTTGCGTTTTAGATAAAGAGAAAGTCAATAGAAATCTATTGTTTATGTAGTGAAGTGTCAGCTGGAACAGCCTCCCATGATGTGTAACTACAGCTGGTGTGGCACGGCTGAGACAGGGAGACAGCTGGATGAAGAGCTCTCCCCCTCTTTCGCTGCCCGAGGAGCTGGAATTGTCCAAGACCTCCCTTGAGCTTGCTCAAGAAGCATAAAACTGAGAGGCACTCTGAGCAAGGAAAGCTGCTCAACTCTGGCCGTCTTAAAGAGGGGACCCGAGGCAGGATACATCGATAGAAAATGTGCAGCAGCACAGGAAGGAAAGGAAGGGGAATGGTAGTGAAGGGAGGAGGGCTCGGATAACATGTGTAAAACAGACTTCTCATAACATGAATGCCTGCAGGGAGGGTTTGATGCTATAAACACTAGCTTGTCATTCATACAGAAGACACAAGGAGAGGTTTTATAGCCCATAGTGGGTGTGACAGCCTTTAAAGACTGGTTTGGTCGGTTTACAGCTTAAGAACCCGCACACACAAAAAAGCGCCTGGTTACACAGCAAGGCAGTGAGAAAGTACAGCAGAGCGACAGAACTCTGCAGAGCAGTGAGTTTCTAAAACCGGCTCATTTATTCACACTTGACTGTCATTATGAGTGATTGCAGCTCTGTATTCATTCATTCTTAAGATGCTCAAAAGAAAAAAACCCAGTACTTTAGAGTTATCTCTCTTACTATAATCTGCTTCCTTGAATGAACACCAGATAAGCAGCTTCCAAACCATTTATATGAAGAAAACTCATTTGTGTTGTGTTCTGCAGTCATTAAATGTAAATGACACTTTAGGTTTTCTACCTATTTTCCTTCTGGAAGTGGTGATTATTGCACTTTTATACCCAATTTCATTAACTGAATTGGCCCAGCAGACGTTCATTTAGCTAATTCAAAGGATTTGGATTTAAATCCTGTGTTGTCCTGCACTAAGGGGGATAAGACGCTTCGAAGGCTCAGTTTTAAATAAATATCACCCACAAACAAAAGCACTGGGAAATTCAATTTTTTTTTAATCCAAACCATTGTAATTATACAAATTACTAAGAACCAGCTTAACAATAATTGTTTACTATATATTACATGCTTTTCAAATACATAAAAATGCTCTAAAATAATAAAAAAAGACTAAGCCAGTGTATTTACATACCAACATTTACACAGTTTTAATCTCTTGAGAGAAATTTGGAGCACCAGTCCATGATTTCCAGCATGGATGAAATAACCATGTTCAAAACAAAACAAAACTGGTTTTTCTGTCTTCCCACAGAGGCAGTAATATTCGAAACTGGTGACTCAGGTAATACTTAAGTGGTGCAACAAATAAGCATTTGGCTCAATTATGGTGTAAGTATTGACAGTGAAGCAAACTGAATACTTTGTAAATGACAAACGAGTGTAGAGACCGGAACGGTAACAGATGTTGTAATAGAAACGTGGATCAGGTGACTGCAGAATGTTTCCGGAAGTAGCCTTTTCTCTCGACTCCTATTTAACGAGTTCAGTGCTTCATTAATGACCTTATAAATCCGTGTCTAATCCTTCATGGTTACAGTGTTCATATGAGTGTGCAAGTAGCACAACAGGATCAGTCATGTTCTTTGTTCATTGCCGCTCGGTATCCTCTTAGAGAGACAGTTTTCGTCCTTGGTTCAGTATCTCTAAAGAGTAATGCTATACCCTTTGCTATACCATTCAGTCCACTGCAGGGCTTGGTATAGTTTCAGTGCACAGGTCCCATCACTACAAACACTCGCAACCCCATGATTAGACACTCCAATGGGGTTCTTGTTGTGATTTAAAATACAGGGATGGGCATCAGTTTGGCAACTGCGTTCAAGAGATCCAGAAATGAGAATACTTCATTTAACGTGCTGAGTTCCACAGAAGTTAAATTCCTTCATTCTTTGGGTTCCTTTTACAAGGAAATTACAAAACAGGTAAGTGCAGTTTAAGGCACAATGACGTTTTGTCAAGGTGAAGTTTTTGCACAGTTGTAAGGTATCCGGCTAAACTATTGTTCCTGGTTTTGAGTCTTCATGCCAGTAAAGCTGTTCTTCGGGGTCCATGTTAGTGTGCATTTGGCTGTTGATGTGGGAGTCCATTTGGCTGACATCTATATAGGATCTGTAATGAACACACAAAACAAACACATTAGGCTGCAAACTGCTGACTGTGACTGACTACGGGGTTAGAATCGATTAACCCTGGGCTGTGCATCTAAACTACAAAGGTAAAATGTCAATATAAAACAGCAATGTGAGCCATCACCTGTGTTTCAGATTTTGTAATGTGAATGCTGATTTCAAAGCCAGGGTCAAACATTCTCACCCAGTTATAAGGCAGATGCACACAGACACAATAGCCGTCTATACACAAACACATGGCCTTCCAATGCAACAGTGCTCAGGGGTCACATTTTCCCTTTGCCACACAAGTGCTCTCCCACCACCACCACGAGGCACCAAAGTTCGTCAGTGAAATCAAATGATCTGGTGCTTTCTGTCAGTCCCTGCTATGCATAAAAATTAACACATCACCATCACCATGTGGGGAAGTTTTTACACTTTCTCACCCTTTCTTCTCTCCTGTGACTTTGATTATTGGGGGGGAGGGGATAATTTTCCTGGTCAGTAGCATAGGAAGCACCACCACACCTCTCTAAATACCCAGGGGGGCATGCCATCCTATCACATCCTCGCCACTCAAACTCTGGGAGACATCTGTGCATGAGAGGGGGGCAAAGGTCAGTGGTGAATGAAAGCGCATGGGCAAAGAGTGGAGGGAAAAAACAAACAAACAAAATCTTGACAGTAAAGGAAGACTGCGGAGAAATGTGACCACTGGATGACAATGTGGCAGTTGAGGAGGAAGTAGGACAAGCATATTTATATATTTTTATATTTTTTCTTAAGAAAGCCATGCAATCACAGTATCAGACATGACACTGAATGATCAGTCAAACATCTCAAAAATGCAAAGTTCACTTCAAAACATCAACAAGCAGACTCACGAGTCAGACTGCGGGCACACTAAAAGAAGCAACTGCACGGGGTCTGGCCGATGCTGTTTACTTACTATGAGCTACCTTTAGAAAAAGACACCTTACTGAGCCTGTGCCCTCTGGAGGATTGTGGCTGCGCAGGGCTGGAGGCCACCTGCCTGACCCGACAGCCAGGGGAGTAGTAGGAGGAGGGGGAGGAGGAGGGAAAGGAAGAAGAGGGCAGGGAGGAAGTGGAAGGATAACCAGAGGAGGAAGAACTAGCAGGGATAAAGGCACAGCACCTCTGGCCATCAGGGCTGTGCCAGGAGTCGCCATATCTATAAGAGAGCAGGGGCCAGTGGACAGTTAGGGAGAGCAGAACCATTTTTAAGCTCTTAGGAGGAACTGACTGCGGGCAGCACAGATCCTCTAATCCCATCAATGAATACGGCTGTGAAATTAAACACTGGCCTGTTTGTGGATTCAGTTTCATAATTTATAGGTGAAGGTAAAGAAAAGATGAAATTGGCAACACATTATTTCACATTGCTGATGGGTGTAAGGGATAAAACACCAAATAGCAGCTCGTGTTTTCTGTAGCCATTCCCTCTAGGTAATTAAACACTAGCACTTAACTCTGAGGATAAGAAGGATCAGGGAGTGGCTTATTGGATAAGTAGAAGAGCTGAGGGCCAGGTTTTTCCCATCTTACCTGCTGTGGGTGGAGTGGGCGTAGGAGGCTGTGCTGTAAGAGAAAGACTGCGGTGCATGCACGGGCATGTCATATTCCAGCATAGCACTGCCGGTCATGTGACTGTGCCAGTTTCCACTGGAGGCTACTGAGGACATGGCAGAAAAATGGTACAAGTCAGAAAACAACCCACCAACATGTAGAACCAGTGTTAGAAACATAATTCAGAGGACATTGTGAAATTTTCTAACCTGACGAGTAGGAAAGGTTCCTGCTGCTGTAGGCTTGTGGTGCATGTGTGGTTGGATAGCCCAGACTCTGCTGGGAGCCTCTGTCATACTCATAGTCGTACGCAGCCTGTTTTTGTGCAGTGTTACGTTTGTACCAGCCTCTCAAGTGTTCAGCCACCAGGGCCTTCTGGATGTTCTTGTTGATCTGTTCGTTGCTTCGAGGCACTGGACGCTGCCTGGATGGCCGTATCGTGGCGTACACGTTCTGTGATGCACCGTCTATCTCGTCATTACCGTAGTGACCATACACGCTGGGGCTTTGATAAGCTGTTTGGGTGTGGTGGTAGGAAGGGTTAACATTATAGTGTCCCTCCATTTCATTGTCGTAAACATAGACTCCATTGGAGTAAGGCTCCGGTTCTGCGTAGTTGGGATAGCCTGTGACATAGTAGGCTGTTGTGGTGGGCCGAGCCCGAGGCTGGTAGCCATAGCACCGAGTGTCTGGCTGAGCCAGGTTGGGCATGCTGCCCGTGTTGGCGTACATGTCTTTTCTGTGGCGCCCGCGCACTCTGCGCCCGTGGGTGTGGTGGTTACCAGGGACGCTGTATTCCACACTAGACTGGCTTGTGTAGGAGGAACCGTCATCGAGCATCTCGGTGCTGTTGCTGCGTCGAGCTGACGGGACAGTCAGTGTTGGCATGGATGGTTTGGTCTCGATCATGAGCTGAGACTGTGACTCCAGACTCCCGCTACGCTGGCGGAAGTGTTGTGGAGAATCCTCTGATCTGCAATTAAAATTAAAGTTTAGTGAATGTAATGCATAAGAGCCGTTTATGAAGCGGGTCTTCAAAATAATGAAAGAACTACATAAAGCTCATACCTCAGCTGTGTGCTGCTGTATGCGTTGCGGGTGAGGAGGGGAGTGGGTGGCATGCTGCGTGCATCACGTGGCTGCCTGGAAGCTGCTTTACATGGGCTGCTGTAGACCGATAAGGTGTCATTGTGACTGTAATGGTGCGCTTCCTGGTCTTGGTCATAATGTAATCTAGAACACAGATAGGAAATATGTTCAGATGATTAACACCACTATCTTCTTGACAGTAAATCTAGGAAAGGAAGAAAAAAAAAAGGAAAAAACAAAACAGGGTTTGCTCGACTGCGGCACTTTAGTCATTCCTTACACCTGAATGAGTTCCACTGCATAGACCATTAATCTTTTCATGCAGCAGCAAGCATTATGACTTTTACCACCCTTCTTTTAAATGAACCTGAGAGTAAAACATCACCCGCACCACTCTAAACACTAACGCAGTAGCTGGTGTTTAAACAACATTTCCAGCACCGCCTTCTGTTTCCCTTTTCCTCTCAGCTTGGGATTGTTGTTTGCTCCTTTACAGGCAGAGACATGTTGTTTTTTCATCTATTTTTAAAGCCGGTGTGTTTGGGCTGATAAGCAGACTGTTGGAGAGGCAGGAGAAGGAGGGAGGAGGTTGACTGTCAGGAATGTAGCTCTGGATCTACTCTACAGGTCTGTACTAGCTTCACGCTTCAGGCCCCTGGAGAAACAACAGGCATTGCGTATCTCCACAGAAAAACAGTTCAGCCATGTTTCCCTGTCATCAGTCATCATACCCATCAATCCAGTGGTTCTCTCAACTTGCCTACATGTATCTTTGTTTTTATTTTCTAGCATTTTACACGCATACTTCCAACTGCCTGTGTGTTGAGCTCTGCCTGTATACTGTGTCTGAACAGAGTTGTGTAGTTGCTCACATTCAGTCTCCTCTTCAGTCACAGTGTTAGGACACTAATAAAGTATGCTCCATGAGTGTGGGTGCTGGTCGCATACCTGCTGTCTGCGAGCTGGTCATTGGCAGAGGCTCGTCTGTCTTTATTGTAATGAGCATCCAGAGTGTCTGCGTGGTGTGGTCTGGGGGAGTATTGGACTGAACGAGACCGCTGCCTCTGGGAGCCAAGCTCATCATCTGGGAATGAAAAGTCATTGTTTTAAGTATAACTCATTCATAAATGAGATGGGATTTAGGAAGCACATGCACACTGAGCACACTAACCATCATCCAGAGTGAGGCTGTCAGATAGCGAGCTGAGTTCTGAAGGCTGGGGATCATCTGGTCAGAGGACAGAGAGAGACAAGTGTTCTAAGAAATGTCTCTGATATTATTATCCACAGTCTTGTCTCACTATGACTAATGTTCTACAAGCTCTGATATGCAAGTATGTGTCACTGCCACTGTTCGTGAAATCTACCTCGTAAGATCAGTGAGGCTCTCTGAGTGGGTTTCTGTCCTTTTTTGACCCTGTAGTCGTTGATCTGTTTCTCAATCTCTTCCAGGTTTCTCATAGCGTCAAGATAGTTGTGCTTCCTTTTCCTTTTCACAGTCTTGCACAGGTCAGCCTCATTGGCTAGCTTCATGGCTGCTTCCACAATCTTTTGCTGCAAGGCAAACCGACTCTCCAGATTCCTCAGATGTGGATCCTGTAGGAAAACACAAGACTGACACAGTTAATGGGGACTTTCCAAAAAACACACAGATCTTGTTGGAGCAGAGGCACCCATATGAACAAAGAAACAGACATAAAGCACTCAAAGCTAAAAACACAAAGACATCAGTCTTTTAGAGTCATTTTATATACTCATCTTTAGTTAAAGACAGAAACTAGGTACAGCTCCCCATAAGAGTCTCATATGATATGTTACACAGTGTAGGCCTCAAAAACAGAACTGAACTCCAAAAGCCTCACTTTAAAAAGTCAGCTGATCTAAATGAGCCGTAGCTAAACAACAACAGTGGGGCACTAATGGTGTTTCAAGTGTCACAGCAGCCTCACACAGCAAAACCACAGCACAAACAAATATCTGCATTCACCTCATCATAGGGGAAAAGATCATCCAGTTTGAAGGCTGTCCCAACACGCCGTCGCACGTGAGGAACCTTCTCACCTGTGGCCAGGGGATATTCCTTAGGCAATCTTCCTGTAAGCTCCTGCAAATGAGAATAGCAGCCAGAAGTCAGCTGAGAATTTGACACTTTTGGAAACAAATCCAGTAAGACAGACACTCACAGCTTCTCTTAAGCAGATCTTTTTCAGTTCTTCAAGTTTCGCTGACAGTTTGTCTTGAAGTTCCTTTTCCTTCTTTTTCAATTCAGCGATCTTCTCTTTCTTCTGTTCCTCGCTGACTTCAGAGTCAGCAGAACCTGGAACAGGGACAAAATAAAATAAAAAAAATTAATACATTATCACCTATCAATCTGATGTAGAATAGAAGTCATTATTTGATTATCTGTCTGCTTACCAGTTGAGATTAGGCTTCCATTGCTGGCCATTATTAGGTGATTTTTGCTCTCAATACTGGAAAGTTTAGTGATCCGGGGGGCGGAGATCTCAGTGAGGTCTACTGCGATGTCTCCTGAACTCCTGGTAGTGGTCATCTTTGACTGTAAGTGAGGAAAGAGAAGATTAGGAGGAGAAAAGGGAAGGCGATAGTATTTAATTTTATTGATAGCACAGTGCATCATGACAGCTGCAGTGGCATGCTAAATATTTATCATCAATTGACTTCATTGACTTCCTGTGCATGGCATCAAACCTGACATGCCATGCGCCTCCAAGACATAGCCTGAATAACTTCATATAACTGCAACCGCACACACTCAACCATCTTAACTATGAAATGCACATAACACACATAACACCTGCCTCAGTGCTCAAGCCCAGTGTGCGTTTCCGAAAGAGTTGAACACTTGTTCCAGGATCTTTGCTTTTAATTCACAGTGTATTTTACTTTTCTGTGCTTTCCAAACTAAATACTTTCTTTGTGCACATGTGCCTTATCCCTTATCCCCCCACCTTAAGCTACAAATAAAACAAAAATACGTAAAATACTACAATTCTATAATGAATACTATATCCACAACATCATAAAAGTATTTCCTGGGGTGCAATTTCAAGCACTTTGTGCACTTTCAGTTTCATTTTGCAAAAGTGAATTAGAGAGGGTCTGGTTACATGAATTATAACAGCTTTTAAACTTAAGACCTAACAACCTTCCAACATAAAACTCAATGGCATGGAATCTGTTTACTTTAAAACTGGAAGCCCTCGATAAACTCTGAGTCAAGATATTTACACTAGTCACGAGTAAGGGACACGGATCAGGCAGTGTATCACATGAAGAACAGTCATTGTTGTAAAAGGCTGTGACACAACAAACCGTTTAAACATCATTCGGTCACTGTTCAAACTGAAAAAGACTGCAAGCTTTTCTTTGTTGCAATCCATCTAGAGGTTACTCCTTTTACAGCCTACTGAAAATAGGTCAACACCACAAGACAAACTAAAAACATGCAAATAACAAGAAGATTTAGCATTCAAAATTTAAAAACTAAAAACAAGGAAAAAGTCCATTATGGTCTCTTCAATCTTATGATTGACTCTACTCCGAGAAACCACCATGCATATTCTCTAAACACATCAAACAGTGTAAATTACTGGTGTAAACTGGTGTAGACTGTTTCTTTGTGTTTCACAATAGAAAAACTGGCAGACAGTGTGAACAAAGCAAAGTGAATCATGGAGGAGAAAAAACAGGCAGACACTCACTTTGCTTTGCTTCATGTCCAGGTAAAACTGGTGCTGACTGATGGCCATCACCCAGATGGTTTTAATTAGTGAATGGCTGGCATACCACGTGTGAATAACCAGGCCAGACTGTCCAAAGGTTCGCTTGGTCACTGCTCTTCTGTAGAAGATAAGATGGACATCCAATACTTGCTGTATTGCAGATACAATCTGTTTAATTGCTTAAATTCGAGTGCCTATAATATGTTCATTTAAAGATTCCTCATTTTATTTTGGGTGTGTACCTAAAGCCCAGTGTGCCCCAAACAGTCCCAGGAAATATAAGCCAAACTAATGCTGGTCTAAGATCTGTTGGCTGGTATCAACAGTATGAATCTGGTATGTATCCAGAAAAGACTACTCGTCATATCATCCCATAAAGCACAAGGTTTTAATCAACTTGTTTTTCATGTATTTATATTACAAATATATATTACAAGGGAATGACAGTAAAAAAGAAAAAAAAAATCCAGCCAAGTTTAGCTTCCACTATAGCACAAAGAGAAAAAACAGTAACCCACAGCCAATTCTTATTTATTGTTTTCAAATCAATCTTTAAGTCATTTTTGATTGTCCTTCAGTATTACGGTGCTCACTTAGCTCTGGCCTGTGGGCAAATGATCAAATGCTTACTTCAGCCACATTAGCTCGCAGCATAGTGCAACTACAGACTCTCCTATTCTTGTGAGGACACTGTCATCAAAAACTAATCCACCGGGTGCTCAGTTTCTCAGAGAGCATTAGAAACTTCTAAAAGTCAGCTCTTACTGGCAGCAAAAGAACATGCTTGTTTGTGGATGAAACATTTTAAAGTCAGACCTAGTGGACACAGCTCTAGCAAGTTGGCGAAAATGGAGAATGCGAGGCAGTCATTCTATGCTTAAGGGAGTGCCAAACTAGCTGCTAGCTAGTTAACCTGATTACAGAGCGATAACATGGATAACACATTTATATGGGTACATAAAGGAAGTAAGGGCTCAAGTGTCAACGAAGCATTTCACGTAGTTCAGCAACAGTGTTTGTTATCCAACTACAGAACCCGTTACATACATAACAGCTATATAACAAATCAAAGGAAATTAGAAATAACTAGACAGCACAAGGAGAACAAAAATATTATTAAATCTAATTAAAACTAATAATTAAAACTTCTAGATCTCTGTGTAATAATATACTAAGTAGATATGAGGAATAATTTTAAATCTGAAGCTGTCTGTTAGGTTTAATAATGGCTTTAACTGCTGGAAGTGGCACATTAAAGCTTGTGTTAAGGGCAGAGGGCTTATAACAACCTTAGAATAATAAACAGCCACTGAGCTGCAGGAAAAGACTCATTTAACAGACATGTTAAAAGGCTTTAACAAGGTGTCCTAAATGGGCCAGTGGCTGCAGATGACCTTCACAGTGTGTAAGGTGTAGGATAAGGAAGCAAGAGCAGTTGCTAAAATGGGAACACTTCAGAATACAAGGAAAGCAGCTAGGTTAAGTGAAGATAAAGTAAGTGGGTTTGTCTTCTGACCTGTGCGGGTCGTTCACTTCCACTGAAAACTTCTTCTCACGGAAATACAAATTCTCCAACTGCTTCCACTGAAACAACTGCAGAGACACAGAGAGGGTTCGGCGGAAAGGAGGGGAAGGGACAGACAGAGATAGATTACACATCACTGAGCACACATCAGCCAACACAACACTATAGAAATATGGATTTACATTACATGAACAAAAAAGAGGAATCAATACCACCAAAAGATACTAAGCAGAGAGGTGGGTATCTAGAAAACTGGCTTAGATTCAGCCACAGCAGCCTGCCTGTGAACACGGTTTATAACGTATACAAAATAACTGCTCAAGTCATGAATGGGACTCAGTGGGCCAGCCAGTCAGGTGTATGTTCAGGCTAACAAAAGAGTAATTATGAAGCTGCTGCAACTGCAGGAACAAAACTGTGCCAGGCAGCAAGCCAGCTTTTCATTTCTCTCTGTTGAAGAGAACAGACACGACTTCTCTGTGTCAGAAGAAACATCTGTTCTACCGATACGGAAACAACTCAAACAGATTTAAAGTTTTTGTTGCCTTTCAAGAACTCTTTTCTGCTCACGTACAGGAAAAAACATAATAATAAGACCAAAACAATGGGGCTCCCAGTGTTCATAGAAACTGCTTTACCTGATACCAACTCACGAGACAAGGACTGAAACGCCCCATTGTACAAAAACGTATATATATACACACACACACACACACATGCTTCTCGGGCTAAGAATCCAGTATCCAGTTCCATTTTCAGAGTTTATTCTCAGTAAAACAAGTACAGCACATCACAGCAGTGACAGACACAATGCTTTACACATTACAGAAAGCACAGCACACTAACAATCTAGAGAAGAGCACAAAGATACTAACTTAAAGATTATTTAAATCAGCCTGACAGGTAACTAGTGGACACCACAACATGGCTTACCGTGAACGTTGTATCTGTGCTTATCAAATCTCTGAGGAATTCTCTGGACTTGTATTGAATCCTTTGACTTTCCCACAGGGCTTGAGCTTCTTCGAACAATACTCTCTCTTGTCTGTTGTGAAGCCAGATAGGTGTTGCAAGAGTTTTGGTTGAGATAGCCACGCCCCCCCACCCCCCTCCTTAACCCCAACCCCTCCTCCACCTCTCTCTCCTCCTACGATAGCAGGGACACCTCCTGCAGCCTCCAGTGCTTAGTACTGCTCTGCACTCTCTTTCCCCCCCTCCCTTCTCTTCTACGCAGCTCTCTTCCTTTTTGGTCAAACCAGATAAGCAGGTTGTACACAACTATTTGATGAACCAGATATTTCACCTTTGCTCTGCTTACTGTCACTCACAGACATTTAAATGCCCCACACTAAATGTGGGAAGTGTTCTGCCGCCCTTACTGTAAACAGAAGACGGAGCACTGCCATGTATAATAATCCACTACAACCATCTCCCCCACCAAGAAAACATGCTGGCAATAAGTAACTTTGGGATAATCATTAATAGCAGTGGCTTTCTTTGCCATTGTGAGAGCAAGTGAGCACACAGCATGGCCCAAATTACCCTACAACCTGAGCCTACAATACTGAAACTGTACATAAATGCTTAGTTCAAACAGGGTATTCCAGCATGACAGATCATTCCACTAAATACTGCACTCCTAGCAGCTGGTAGACACATTTAAAGACCTAATTTTCTTGTGGAGGTCCTCACGAAAATTACCACTGTCTAGTCACCACCATTTAACATCAATCACACAGTAACAACTGATACTTGTGTTGGCTCACTCATTCTGCTAGAGAAACTTCACACCTGTGTGCCAGCGCATAATAAAACTCTAAGGCGGCTTCTGGTAGAACCACTGCTCGAAAAAATGTTAGAGATGTGACACACCTCAAACTCGGCAATCACGAGACCTCTCAAAGAGGAAACAGTCCATGAAATCACCCAGATCACATTTAGAGAAAGCAGAATCAGTTTGCTAAAACCAGAAAACTAACCGGAATTAACAGCACACAAAAATTTTCTGTCTTCATTTTCTGTCATCTTCCTTGTTTTTGCCAAATGTGTCATTACAGGCAGGTGGAAGTGTGCCAGAAATGCCTGTGGTTTCAGATGGGATCAGGCTGCTCTCATGGAGACACACCCACAAGCCCAAGGACCCCCAGGGCCACAAGTCCTCAAAAATCATACATGGATTTTAAAAAGGAGCCCTGACTCACATGCCAATACAGAAAAAGATCTGCCACACCCATCACAGAGTACGTCACATACCAGGGTTCTACTTGAACACTGTACATTTCCATGGCATGACACAACATGACACACAGCTCAAAGTAGTGATAAACTGATAAAAATGTAGCTCCTGGAACAAAAAACATCCTGTTTTATTTCATAACAGGAGTGAGGTGAGTTGAGTGAAGATAGGAAAACAACAAAAACACACACCATAGAAAAGAAGTTTGTTCAGTTTTTATTTTTCTTGAACAGAGAGTGAGAACACTTTTATACCCCCAGCTGACACTGTCTCGTAATGACCTGAAGACTGGTTTTGGTTCTGCTGGCTCATTGTACGTGTGGACCAGCATGAGGTCCCATTACATGAAGGGAGAGAGCCCAAGTGACGCAGAGAGAGAGAGAGGGAGACTGACTCCTGGTTTAATTTAAGAAGAAATTAAATGTCGACTTGCCATCTGCCTGAGTCCCAGAAACAGTTGTGGCACTCCAGTTTTGCTCCTTCATATTAAAGCATCACAGGCTTCCTAATTACAATTCTGCATCTTTTTCCTCCCATTCCACATTCAGATCTTTGGGATAGATAATCAGTGGGTGTTATCTACATGCTTATATACAGTTCCATTATGTATGCATAATGGAAGCGGGAGAGTATTCACTTTACTAAATATGTCACTTTTCTAAAGCACAGCAGGGAAAGGGGCCTTTTCAGTTTCAGGGTATTCAGTTAAAAGTGATCAAAGTGGGGTGTGTGGAAAGAAGATAATATTGGGTTAAGCTATCATAGCTGCTTTTTAGTTTTACTAGACTTATACAATCAAAAAATAAAAAAGCAGCACTGAGCAAATGTTTTGTCCTCTTTAAATCAGCACTACAACAATGGCAGCAAGTACTAATTTCCTGTTATCTATTTAATGAAAAACTGTTCAAAGCAACATTGTTGAGAAGGGAAAATGTTCACACAGAATTGAAAATTACATTTAAAACTGCCGTGATGGTCAACTGACCTCCCCTTAATACTAAAATCCAGCACCTCACCCACATCCACAGATAACGGTTTTGTTTTGTTTGATCAATTGTGTTCCCTCTGAGACACACACACACACACATAATTACCATAATGAATGCAGCATGCTGAGAGGGGATGGGCAGGAGGCAAGGAGGGATGGGATGGGTGGAATACAAGGGCTATGAACTAAGACAAGAATACTACCCGGATATAGAGACCTCCCTTCAAGGTAAAGGAAAATGAGGGAAACAGAGGCTTCTAATTACCAGCAAGAACAACAAAAAGAGTTATTAAGAAAAAAAAAGCCACATTCTCCCCCCCAACAGGAAACTCTTATGAAGTTTTTATGCTCCTGCCCTGAGTAGAAGACTTAGAAAAGGCAAAAAGGCAGTCTTGCTTTGGATGAACATTTCCAACATCCCAAAATACAAATTCTACCTATCCACTTGGCTATCGAGGAGAAAACTCTGGTCCCAAAGCTTTGCTGCTTCCCTGGAGCACCATAATTACCCCTCCTATAGGACTGCTGGGAGAGCCACGCTGTGCGTCTGCCCATTAATGCCTTGCCTCAGTACTGCACACCCTGCTATGTCAACAGGTTCATACTGTATAAAAGCAGCTATGATGAGACTAAAGAAAGAGGCCAGTGAAAATGCCTGGGTAGAACATTATTAAATGACACCTCCCAGACAAAGGAGACAACAATCACGGACACAGCTACACATTAAGAACGTTTGCCCTATAAGCAGGGAATCTTTAAACTGCAATGGATACTATACAAACTACATTATTACCAGAGTGATGTTTTAAGACACACACCACTACAAATTCAGTACAAGTTATAAGTATAATTTTAAAGCCACTAATCTTATATAACTGGAGTAAGCTACAAATTATAGAAAAAAAACAGCTTTGCAAGAGCTGTTATTTTTATTTAACACACTGGCCTGGTGATATATTTTTAGAATTAATCAAAAAAGGACTATGACACTATTTTTTCAAAGTGTAGGTCTTTGTGTATTTTACCACTTAAACTTAGCAAGCAGATTTTATAATCCATACCACTCTGCATTCCACCCCTGCTAATACTGGTCCATACTGTATTTACTCCTGCAGCCTTGAAAGCACTACGCACATACTGACACTCCAAAATATTTCCCCCCCCCTATCTGTGTTCCTCTTTCTCCTGACTGGCATGGGAACCAGAGGCTTAATTACACCTATTTACAGTCTGGATGGATCATTAACCAGCCAGCAAGAAACACATGAGTGGAAGCAGAGTTGTCATCAGACAAAGCCTTTCAATGACCCTCAATGCATCATACTTCCACAAACTTAAGAGCTTTCAACTTTACATTCGATGAGTGACTTGATCAAGTATTAAATGGCACTTGTAAGAAAGCCAGGTCTATTTATAAAGCCCACACCCTAAGCTAGTCTGAGTAACTTTGCAAACCAAACAAAAGCAACAAACAAGTAAAACAAGTAAATTATAAATAGGAACGCAGATCCAAACCAAAATTTAACATATCCCTTTTTTAGTTCAGGCTCTGTGTCTCCATAAAGTTTCATGCAATTTGGCAAAGTAGATTCATCTGACAAACAGATGAATGCAGTACAAGTATACCTTCACCAAAGACAGGACAAGAGAAAGAAGAGCAACTGTGGCAAATACAGCAGCTATAACGAGAGGTCAACCCACCTGTCGAGGTTTCAGCTTATCCTGCCAATCGTACTGGCCAATGCCTTTATAGCTGACTCCCAGCCACCACGGTATTCCTTGCTTGTCCTGCAGGAAAGCACACACATGCAAATAAACCACACTTTCACTCCTTAGAGGTAACTTTATTGGTGTGTCTAAAAAAAAGAAAGAGGCCTGTTACCAAAGTAATTACCCTGTTAGGCTCACAACAATTGCAACTCAAGAAGAGATCAAATACATTTAAGCTCTTAAAACTTCAACACTGCTGTTTGATCTCCTCACACACCTTGATTTAATTAGGTTTGGTAAGGGAAAAATAAAACTGTGCATGAATAAGAAAGTGAGAAAAGCTGAATGGATAGATTGCTGTCTTAGCTGAATCAAAAAGCTCACATTTCAACCATCATAGGAAAAAAAAGTAGGAATAGGGGTTAGATTGATGTGTTTAGACTAGATGTAGACGTAAGCTTGTTTTAATGTTAAGCTACTGTATGACACAAGGCACTGCCATTACCTTCACTGGGTAATAATGGACTCCATATGTTGGCAGGGACTCCACCAGGGCCAGATACCTTCAGTGAAAGAGGAACAGGTTAACAGGAATTCAGCCACTTACACTTCATCACTGTCATCTGGCTGTTGTAATACAACAGACTGAGTGGGATTTAAGCTACAGCCATTGAGAAGCCACAATCATTTGAAGTGGCAAGCTGATCGATTTGTTTCAGGGCTGTGACAGAGTCCATTGATCAGTTCAAGGGCAGAAATCATCGGAGTGTAAATGACCCAGGGTTGCACAGAATTACAGTCCTGGGAAAAACAGTGCAGGGCTGACACTCTCCCAAGGCTGGCTGGCAAACTGCCGACTCTAAGAGCACCTCCTCTAATTAATGACACATTCTGGCATGGTGACAGTCACCTCTTAAAACAACAGCCACCACAGAGCAGACATGTTAAGTTAAAGAGTAAGACCTGACGTAGAAGCTGCTGTAATGCAGAAGAGAAGTTCAGCCTTAAATCATTTTTAGTCTCTCTCACACACACACACACACACACACACACACACACACACACACACACACACACACACACACACACACACACACACACACACACACACACACACACAGAGTTGTTTTCATGACTTACTGAACAATGGCTTGCCCTCTGGTCAGTCCTATCAGCTTCTTGTAATGTTCAATCACTTTTTCCTCACTGTAAATGGATAGATAAAACATTTAATGAATAATCCATCAAGTGTAGCATATTGAAGCCACAGAGGGATTGCTGTGCGAGGGCCATTTCTCCAACACACTTTCTGACTGCTCATGCAGAAAATGCAGTCTGCCCTACTGGCTTGCTAATGGCTCTCGTCTACCTCTCCTGCAAACGCCTCACATTTACATCCCATTGTAATCATTTCTTAACAGCCACACTGCAAACATACTGAAACTTAACACACAGAGAAAGCGAGAACGACAGACGTGTACATGTGGTCACCCAAGCACCATAACAATGTAATTTTAATTAGGATATTAAACTGCTGTATCAGCTTCAGAGACTGTAGCAGCCTCAGATGACCAAGATAAGCAAGAGCAAAGTGGATTGAAGAGGCAGACAGTGATCTTTCAGACAGTCTGTGGCTGTCAGCACCTCCCAGTGCTCTCCAGGACTAATGAGCAAACGTAATTAACACGACCCAGACGCTAATGAGTCACACTGTCAGAGGAAAAAGCTTCTGACAATAAGAGACTAGGTCTGCATTCAACCTTGACACCTAAAAAAGCTCATCAGAAAAGTTAACTGCTGTGTTCAACCAGGCGTTGCTGACCAGTGAGCAGATTTGTTAGAGTCGTGAAGAAAGGGGCTGTGGTGTTGGCTAAAAGTTTCTTTGGTGCTAATCCGAAACTACTTAATCATTCATTATCCTTGTGCATTTTGTGGTTTTCTCAGACCACAAGATCTCAGATATCTTACCAGTAGTTGAGAGACGGGTGTTCCCTTAATACTCTGGTGGGCAGGACTGGTAGCTGTTTCAGGTCTGATGTAGCAGTTTCAGCACTGGAGTGGGGGAAAAAAATTCTGTTAATTTACAGTAACAGAAAAAGTTATTGTGCTATCCTTTATTGCTGGCAGTGTGACAGTAAAGCACCAAAACTGCACCGATTATTGCCTGTTAACACACAATAGTGTACAAGACTTCCTATACATGGGAATCATGCTTAGAAGTCCAAGGTATCCTGTTTTGGCCTTAAAGTAAGTGGCCTGTGTTGACCATGAGTAAAGAAAATTTCAGTGTTTACGCAAAAATCTCAACCCAAAGTCTAAAAATGTGTCGAGAACATTTCTCCACATGTTCGGACTTTCACAGTGCGTTTTGGATTTCAATCTTAAGGCATGGCAGCAATAACTCACCCTTGTAGATCTTTAAAAAAGGTGCACTGTCAGGATATTGTTTTCATCTTTCTTATCTGAGGTAGAAAGAGTATAACGTCCCGCCAAGACAAAACTTGGGCTTTATTCATGTCTTGCCAGACTTCATTTGCGCAGCACATGCAGAGCTTTTAAGTCACAAAGGGCTTGGAGAAAAATAATCTCTTAAAAAATATCAAAGCCGTTCTATGCAGGTTCTCCGCAGTAAGCCACTTCAGTTATGTAATTTACTGCATGTAAATAATAGTATATCGATTCCTCTTCACGGGTAAGCCAAAGAAGGGGTGTTCTCATGCACAAACCAACCAACTGTTGTAATCACTTTATCTGTACAGAACTGTGGTGTTACTGACTGTCAAGGTCTCTGATACTGAACCATGAGTCACTGCAGCCTCTTGTAGATGGGAGCACTGGGTCTACAGTTTCTGTCAGACAAAAACGGCTCAGGCTTGGCGGGCCAGTCCACTGGAGACCTGAACAAAAGCCATTCACAAGCACTTGGCAGCCTCTGCCTGTGTTGAAAAGTACTGTATGGGCCAGTCCTATTACAAAACAATCCATGTCTTCTCAGACAGGCCTATAATATTAATATGTAGATCACACCATATTTAATATAAAGCTATTAGAACATCCTCAGCTCTTGTGCTATCTAACTAAATTACAATAACCTTGAAAATAAGTATTGAATGACTTTAAGATCATAACCATTTAACCTCAAGCTGACTTTGTGGTCATCACTTTAGCTCATCTTCAGAGAGTAATGGAATCAAACGGTAAGACGGAACCCTAACGATCCAGCTATGCGAACCTGCTCCCTAAACCAAAGGAAAAGAGTGAACCACCACAAGGACAGAGGCTCCTGACTCATTCTCCCCTGTAGTTACCTCTCCTAGGTTGACTGGGTTTTGCTGCCACGGCACTTAGCTGTGTGTTTGATGGCATACATTTTATGGGGAGCTGGGGCCTGGTGTTGTCGAGGTGATCTACTCTGCAGCCGCACTGCCGTGTCAGCAATCTGGAATTCATTACTATGTCTGTTATCTTCCCGCAGAATGCAGCGTGGGGGCAATTCCTACACCCAGTGCAGCCCAACCCGGAGCAGCCTACCCAGTGTGGGAGCGATAATGCTCATGTGTCAGCTGTTCCACAGGGCTGAGACATGGCGAGTTTGGAAGAGAGCACAATGAGAGAGCTGGTTGCTGTGAATCGACCACTAACTACAGGGTACACCTGCAAATAGAACTGAAGACCAAAACTGTCTGGGTGTAATGCCGGTTTATGCGCCGCACATTTTGAACTAAACAGACACTCAAGTTAACTCGAAATCATCAACAGATGAATAGACAAATGTCTGAAGATTACGTTTGAAGGTAATTACAATTACTCAAAAGAAAGAAAAAAAATCCCCAGCCGCTCTTTAAACTGTAAGGCATAATTAAAGCCATCAATCAGTTCAGTGATTTCCAATGCTTCCACCAAACCCCAGAGAACTGCTGAAACTTGTTGCTGTGAATTATACCTGCAGGTGCGGAGAGGACAGCAATAAAGTGTGAATCAGTATGCAATACTGCACAGGAAAAGGAATTCTAACACAGAACACAATGGGAGACCTGATGGCGCATTAATTCAAATCACAGCAGGGGGCCAGCCCACACCAAAACAAAAGCATGACTACAGTGAGTCCTCCTGACGCCAAGTTGTCTGCAATTGGACAGTGGGTCTGGCTCATCCCTCTTAAGGCAGCTGTGTCTGTATGCGGAGGGCTCCCTGACTCCTCCGCAGCTAATCTTTACTGCTCCAGGACCCTTCGCTGATACAGTATATGGGAGGCACATTCATATGCTTCCTGAGGGGATTTACTTGGCCTATTCTCTCACAGGAGTAGAAATAAAGGAGATCACTGACAGGGATGAGAAATACTTCCACAGAGAAGTGGGGGATGCACCAGGACAATAATAGTGGTAGATAAATGGGATGGGGGTGCTATGATCAAGTCAGACAAGGAAAAAAGTATTTTGCCACTGAGGGAAATCCATTCTATTTATTAATGTGTAAAGTAAACAAAATCTATTGTGTTTTACAGCCTAAAATCTAGCAACCACAATGCAAGTAGATATCCCTGCAAATACAGACTAACGAAACTCCCAAAAAACTAAAACAGAACTGTTTGATTTGGAAACTTCCCATCATCCTCTCTGATTCTTCCAGATTTGTTGGCCAGTTTTCTTTTATTGTGCTTTCAGAGTCAGGGCAAAGTACAGCCCATCCCTACACCCACATGAACTGAAAGTTCAGACAGTAAAGTGCATGTTACACTTTAAGGATATAACAAGCCTGAAATCAAAACACACTGAAATGAAACACAAGAGGAATAAATCTGCATTGAAGCTATAATAAATGGTAATTAATATTTATCAGGTCAGTCGCGCTTGTAAGAAAATGGAGCAAGTTAATGAGCACAAGCAGATGCAGCCAAGTTGTGTTTTTCCCTTTTTTTCCTGCAGGAGAACAAAGGCAAAGGTTTGACAAGAGGTTGAACTGCATTTTCAGCATTGCATATATATCGCCATTCAAACAACACAAGCGCACTCGCCTTACAAAGCACAAATCTTTGTTTCTGCACAATGGACGGAGAGGCCTTTAGAGGCAAAGCAAAGAGACAACACATGCAGGTTCAGGCTGCTTCAAGCTGCTTGCTCATTCAATCAGACAGGCCAGTGTTTACTAGTGGCAGCAAATGTCCTTCACTTCTATGACTGGAGGGGGAAAAAAACAAAAAAAACAAACAAACAACCCCCCCACACACTTTATCACTAGGCAGGCTTCTGAGAGCAAGTTGACTATGAAAGCATTATCACAACTAGTGAACAGATTATTGAGCTCTGGAACAGAATCTCCCACCAGTGTCATCGACCCAATCGTGTACACTACGTCCCATGTTTGTACATGTGTCATTCAGGCCATGTTTGTTAGGGTACGTGACATTTATTAATAGATGACGCCATCACTACATGCCAAAAAGTAAATCTGTAAAGTGTTCCATATGTTTAGAGCACAAACACATTGCAATTGCATACGCAAAGGCAGGAATTAATAGTAAATCTGTCTTTGAAAGCACTATGTGGATAATGCCAAGCCACATGAGGTTCAGGTAAATGCCACAAGAGCAACCAGAAAAAAAAAAAAAAGAAAAGAAAAAACAAAATTATTAACTCAGATAAGTCCACCATAATACAAAATCTGAGCCAGCAAGTTGTACATTAACAGACAGCCATCGTTTAAACAAACAGAACTGACCAATGAACTTGGCAAACTCTGCTTCCTTTATAGATGACAGGAACAAATACTTTATAGATTATGCAAAGCCTGCATTCAAGTGCATAACTTAACTTATAAAAATGTGTATGGAAATCCGTTTATCCAATACATCAAAACATCTTTCTAAACTTCAACAGATAGTACTGTTTTGAATGAAAATCAACTTGATGTAATAAAGACCTTTGAGCCAGGCAATATTTCAAGGGGTTCTTACCTGCTGTAATCTCCTTTGGCCTCCTAAAAATGGGAAAACAAAGAAATTAGTGAAAATATTGCTAGAAAAGTCAAGACTTAATAAACTGTGCTAGTAGCTAACATTACCGCAGAGGTCAGTCACTACAAAGGCAACATTACATAGTAAACATCAACACGTTTAATTTTGAATTTCATTCATTTCAATAGCTAATAGCTAAAAGCAAGCATGTAGTCGAAGCATAAGGTGATTTTAGACGTCACTGTTGATATAAAAAGGCACAGTTTGGGTAACAACAGCTCCGACTGTAGCCCCCCCCCACCCCCTCAAGAGACAACTATTTTCAAATGTTGCGAGTCCACCGAGCGTCCTCGTTTGGGCTGAGTGACAACACTTTAGCCTGGAAAGGCTGCGACAAAATCTTTCTTACCTGCAATGCGAACGCGGCTAACTTGAACACATTTTCACTCTCCACTTCAATGGTCTCCTGTTGTTAAAAAAAGAAGAAGAAGAAGAAGAAGAAGAAAAAATTGGCAAGGGTATTTAAAAAGACAATGTGTAGCCCGTTTGAAACACTTGACTTGAGAGAAAAACCTTCCCGTCCCGTACCTCGGTCCCACCGTTACCGACTGAACCACTCTCGCAAAGTCAACCCCGTGTTACAACAAAAAAAAAAAAACTGCCCGTGAAGAGGATTTAACATGTTTTTCAGTCCCCGAATTTATCCTGTCGTTTACTCGTTAAAACTTAACGCACACACCGGAGTGCAGAGAGAGCCTGGGTTAATGCCCTGACTGAAGTTGCTGCCCCCTCGGCAAAGTGGTACGGTCCGAAAGCAGGTTCAACAGTCTGCGTCTCCCATGGAGATCAGTCTGCTCTCCCCGCGAAAAGAAAAAACGGCAACCGCAACGTTTGATCACGTGCTGCCTTCATGTGCTCCTCGTATATCCCACGTTCCCCTGTCCTCTTTTAGCAAATTTGCGCAGAACTTCACACATTTAAGTTTATTTCAAAATGATTAAAAATAATCAAACACCAGTATCTATTAACGTTTATTAACTCTTGTCAGCAAGTAGCACAATAATTTTGCTTAATTTTTTTTTATAAATAATTTAACTAAAATACAAAGGGAAAGTGACTCCGGAGCTCTGAGTTTTTCATTTCTGTGTTGAAACCTTTTGTTCTGTTTGAATGTACCCTAAACATTAACATTCGACTTTGATAACACCGTTAGTAAATTAGAACAACACTAGGTGGTTTCCAATTGCCACTGAAAGCAGCATTCTGCTCTTGAGCGGTGGTAGAGGGCCTACTGAGAGATATAACAGTATATTATGAATAAATATTACGTAGGCACAACAATTCAGTGTAAAGAACCATGAGCAAAGGAAATCAGCGCATAGCAGGCTATGGGAAGTTGTTACATCTGAAGCAAAATGATGGGAATTTGTGATTTGTCATGCTAAAACAATAGGGAATCAAAATGGGCAATATTAATTCTGTAGAAAAGTGCATGTTTTATTTTTAAAATGTGCATCATGTAGATTTTTTTTCTTAATATTTACTCAAAATTAAATTACCCAGAGCTGTTATGCACCTTCCCATAATGCAATCAGCTATTGTGTGCAATTTATTAAAATGCCAGTTTTGGATACCCTTATACAAAATATTAAAAATAATAATAATTTTTTAAAATATTTTGCTTCAGATGTAACAACTTCACATAGCCTGCTGTGAGCTGATTTTCTTTGCTCATATATATTATATAAAACACATTTTGCTCGCAAACACTTACATTAAACACTAGAGATTTAGCATTTAGGAAGAACAGCTCCACTGTTGTGTTGTCTTTCAAGAGGGTGATCTTCTCAATGTAAAACCTGTGAAAAGTTTATTTTGGGTCAGTAAGGCTTACTAGAAACAGATTGCCAGTGCAAGTCAGCCAGTGTTTGAGCATTAAGCACATCATCATGTTCAACACAGTAATGCTGTTTGGAAGACATACAGCTGGATTTAAACCATGTTCCATTACTGCCACCTGCTGGTCATGACGAAACAGTGGATGTTGCTTCAAAACGGGGCTCTCATTATTATAGTGTGTAGAACAATAAGACATGATAGGCTGATGCTTCCAGTAAAACACTCACTCACCTCACAAGGAACTTGAGCTCCAAAGGCCCCGAAGTCTTGGAGAAGTAATGATCGAGGACTTTACGATCTAGCTGGAGCCAGTTACTCTGGCCACTGAGCAGGGATTAATTGCAAAAGAAAAAAAAGAAAATCATTTTTGCAATACAGCTATTTTTCAATTATTTCCCTTTTATTGTTAAAGTAAATTTTCCTCAAGTGCACTTTTGCATTAAAGTGTACACATGTGGAAATGTACTTACGTGTCATCTATGAAGCACAATCCAAAGTACTCTTTCTCCTTCAGATTAAAATGTGACGCTACCAGATCTAGCAGTTCACGGGACAAAAGCTTGGGCTGTAAAGTTTTAAATAATATGCAGGAGCTCAGTTTAAACTACTACTACTATTATTTTTTTTAAACATAAAACACCATAAATACAATGTGAAATAAATTAAAAGGGTGACGTACCTGAACCAGCAGCTCCAGCTTGCGGTCATCAAGGAGGTGAACTTGGCACAGGCGGCCCTCTGTCATCTAGAGGGGAGAAACAAAGACAACTCCTGTAAAACAACACCAGAACACCTCACTGTCTCCACATCCACCTGTGCGTCTCAGCTCAAAGCTGTGCCTCCACTGTTTCAGGCCTCTTTTCAGGTCCTCTTCAGTGTCACGATTGGCTTTGTGATGAAGGAGTGAATAGGTAAGAAAATCCACAAGCTAAGCACCCATTTGGGACCCACGCTCCCAAAGATCAAAGTCTTCACAAGATCATTCTCTTTACATGTCTGAAAACTATTGTTTAAAAGTCCACTGGCAACACTTTGGCCACAGGTCTGCTTTTTATAAGGCCACAGTGAATCTCAGAAAAAGACATGGAGATTCTTTTTCCGCCAGACAGGATCCCATATCCTGTCTGCTGGTGTGTCCTTTTCACCCACATATCCTTCCTCTGCATCAACACTAGTCCTATGAAAACATTTAAGATGTCGTCATCCCACTTTTTCCTCTGCTGTAAAGAAAGAGCAGTGAAAGACAATGATGTCCTCCTCCAGAGTTTAATTGAATTCCCAGTCTATTGTTTATGATGAATGGTTTGTAAGACTCATTATGTTGCAGTCAGCAGAACTGTCTTTCACTGCAGAGCACCGTAAACATTATTGTCTTGTGATAACTTATAACTTAATTTTTTAAGCTGCCACCAACACTTTGATCTGGTTCTGATCATTTGAGACGTGCACACTCCAAGTGCCATTAATACAGAAAAGGGATTTCTATGTAGCACTGAGGAATGCAGCGACACTGCTATATTCATTTCCTTGTGTTAACATATATTATTCCTTGCTAGTGGAGGCATCGGTCTGCTACAATGTACTATGAACACACTTCATATTTGCAGGCTTTATTCAAACACTCCTGTCTGTAGAGTAGCTGCATATAAGGCTGCCATGAGCAGCTGTTAGCTTAGCTTGGCATGATGATGGGAAACAATGGGAAGCAGCTAGCTTGGTACTGTCAAAAGGAAGTTCGACTACAAGCACAGCTGAAACATTGACATGGTTCAATGTTATTTCATCTTTCAAAAACTTCATTCCCTCTTAGTTTGACCAGCCCAAAGTGGTTTTTGTAATATCATGTAGTAGACTGAGCCTGTGAAACACACTAGAGGGAAGAAGCGCCAGCAAACACAATCTCAACATATAAGAAAGCTTATAGTGATAATGTTAAAGCTTCTCATTGGGGCTGGATCAGGTGATCATTTAGTTAAGATGTAATAGGCCCCAGCTGCTGTGTGCTTGCTATGACGCACTGAGCATTTCTCCATCATTGGAACTCTCCACGTGTTTACACACCACTATGCTATTTCATCTTTTATTTTGAAAGTCTGGCTTTCTCGCACAGTGTCCTTTGTTCTGCCTTCCTCCACTCACCCCCAACAAGTCGCAGGACATGACTGCCCCTCCCTGAGCCTGGTTCTGCTGGAGGTTTCTTCCTGTTAAAATGGAGTTTTTTTCTTCACACTGTCTCCAAGTGCTTGCTCATAGGGGTTGTCTGATTGTTGGGGGTTTTTCCTCTGTCATTGCAGGGTCTTTACCCTACTTGAGGTGACAACTTTTGGGATTTGGCCTCTTTGGAGGTAACTGAGGGTCACACTGACCTCCATTCAGGGAGACCACAGGCAGGGAAGACGTCTTGTGGCACTTTTTTAACCTTAAATGTACTAGGACATATCGTTCTCAGCACCACAACAGAGCAGTCATTTCACTTTTATACAGCACAGGCTGCTTTTCCAAGCTGCTGTTTTTCAACACCCAAAACCTCAGTGAGACTTACGCTTCCAGAGACAGCTGGATGTGTGTGTTCAGTTGTGTGTACGGTCATGCTAACTTTTTATTGTGCCATAATTTTGCTGAAAGCTGTAAAGTTCCAGATTTTAAAACGACCTCCTCAGTCTACTGTGCACGTGTCCAAAGGTTTAAGCCTCTGAATCTCTGCCAAAGACAAACATAAAGAATCACAGCAGCTCGACTGTATGAGAAACACATCTTTGGCAGCTTTGTTGTGGTCTGCCCATTATGTGGTTCTCTTTTCATACTTCTTTGTGTCTTGCTCTCTTTTGTCTTGTGTCTCCTGGGCTTTCTTGTCTGTGTCTGTCAGTGTTTCTTTCTTATCTTTTCGTGTGCGTCATGTCACGTTTTTACTCCCTCTTTTTGTTGTTGTTGGGTTTTTTTTTCTAGCCTTGTTATTGTCACATGCCTCTTGATTGCGTTGACCAGAGTCTCATTAATTCCCTGTGTATTTAGACTCCTGTCCTCCCTTTGTTAGTCATCAGTTTATCTGTTTACTGGCCACCTGTACGGTTGCCTTTCTGATTTGGTGTTGTGCTGTTTGACCTTCTGCTGGTTTATGTTTGAACTGTGTCTTGCAACAGTTTTGGTAAGTCGTATTAAAGCTGATATTGTTATATTACCTCTTAGCCACATTTTTGCATTTAGGACTCTCCTGAACTCCACACATAACAAGATTTGCCTTGATAAGAATTATAGTAGATGACAGTAATGTCCATTGTTTAAACAGGGATTAATCACTATAGCAACCCTTTTATGAGTTGTTGTTGCTGTCCAAGCCACAGTCCTTCCAAGAGCCTATCTATCAATGCTGTATTGTTGTAAGCCGGGGACATCAAAACAGAAAGAAAGGGACAAAGGTCTTTAGATAATGGTCTGATTTTAAACTCACAGCCAGTCGTTAAAGTGACCTCACTATCTAAAACTGCGTGGGACACAAAGCCTCTCATCCATAAGTTTTTACTCTCTGTGTCAATGTTTAATTATTTGTTAAAAGTGTCTATAACGGTATCCTGTCCTCCGTAAAATAATGTGCACAGCAGAAACAAGGTCTTGTATCGTTCTTTATGATGACTAAAATCAGGTTATCACCTCACTAAATTAACCCATGGTTTCCCAATCTAGTTATCAGTTCATTCAAATAATACAGGCTGTACTTCCTGAGAATTCTCAGGAGGAATAACATCACACAGAGACTGCTGGTGTCCTTCTACAGAGCCACCATTGAGAGTGTTCTAACTTACTGCATATGCATCTGGTATACTAGCTGCACAGGGGCTCAGAGGAAAGCACTCCAAGGGATCATTAACACCGCCCAAAAGATCACTGGCTGCCCTCTCCCCACACTGGAAGTTCTACACAACGCCCACTGTTTTAAAAAGGCCCAAAACATCATAAAAGACACCTCACATCCTGGCCACTCCCTGTTCGAACTGTTGCCCTCAGGCAGACGGTACAGGGCAATCAGAGCAAGGACTAATAGACTCAAACACAGCTGTTATCCAACTGCAATAACACATCTGAATACTACAAAAAAATGTCCATCACGCCACTCTTGTGTTAATCTATGCACGGTCTGAAGCATGTGTGTGGGAATGTATGTGAATGTTTTACTGTTATATCTTATTAGTATTTTAAGTATTCTATCTATTTTATTTATTGAATTTTATTGTTTTATTTATATTTTGATATTGCTAGGGATGATGCAATGATCGGGGACCATTCTTAATTTCGTTGTTCTCATGACAATGACAATAAAGTTTCTGATTCTGATTCTGATAAGTAGTGGTTATACAAAGGAAAACAAAATTATAATATTATAAATATATGAAGAGGTTAAACAAATAATACAGACTGAAAGCTACACAGACAGGCCCACTTTGATGCTTCAGAGATTAATTCTAGGAAACAACAAACTTTTCAGTGACATAGAGGAATGCTTACATTTAATTGTTGTATTATGTGCATTTTGGGGGTTGAGGAAGTCAATTTCAAGTACTATGAAAATGAAAATAGCGCTGCTTTAAAATTAAAGGGATGTGATACCTGTCTTTTTTCAGAACTCCTTTTCAAAGAAGTCAGTGTCAGGTTTTCTGTTTGCTCTTTCAAAGACACAAATGAACTTTACCTTCACATGATAGCATGCAGGGAAAGAGCAAAACCCGAGAGAGAAACCTGAGTCTGCCCAGATGACGTCCATGAAAGTAAGATGCGTAAACCACGCAGACAGCGCTCAGGTGTTCCAGGAACCACGCATTTCAAAGAAAATTTTGGAAGTGCCCCTTGTTACCCGGACGCCGAGATCAAACGGCCGGTCACGCTGCTTTCCAAATGATTACCACGTGTCCTGGGAGAGGGACCCTTGTTAAAAAAACAGACTTTGTGACTCAGCATGAGGCAGCCTGTGCCTCCTCACGTTCACACAAATAAACACATGCATGCACTAATGAGCCAGATGAGGAAAAAGCACTGACTCACTTCAGTCAGAGGAAAGTTTGGCCATAAAAATCCAATACAGTAATTAATCACAAGTGCTGCCCAGGCAGCTAGTAAAATCAGCTTTATCTGACTTCCTCCCACTTGAGATATTTACACTAATGCCCTCATACCTGGTAGCATTTCCCAATCCTGAACCAGGCTTCTAGGAAGCGTCTGCATGGCATCAGCCCACGATTGTACCAGCTCCTCAGTGTCTGATGCGCCAGGCTCCAGACAAGCTGGCTACCCGATGCCACCAGATCCTCCATCCCACGTATGATACGCACAGCCATGTCTGAATGCTCTTTCTCTCCGCTGGCCACCTTTCTTTCTTCTTCTACTGGTGACACCTTGCACTTTCAGAATGAGTAGAAGAGCTGATCTGTGGACCACTTTGTTTTGCTTGAGAGCAACAAGCTTAAAGGGAGCACTTACACTCCAGTACACACAGACACACACACTAGTCTACTATGTCTCCCCCAGCTGATGTAATGTCAGTGAGAGTCGGCGCTCTGGAGAGGCTGGAGCAGAGCAGCGTGCCTCCGGCTTGGTCCTGGGCCCCAGTCCAAAACACTGCCTCACAGAGTGCAGGGGAGGGCAGGACAGAACCACAAAGCCCCTGCTGCAAAGGCTCCATCTCCCACCACATAAACACACTTGTATACTAATACAACTTACATGCGAACAAACCTCAGCTGGCCACTCTAAAGTCCCACATTCGTTCATCTGTGGCTCACAGTAGTATAATGTTGAATTTTTTTTTTGAGGGGGGGGGGATTGGGCAAAAGCGAATGACTACATCTCTCGCATTACTTTTTTATTTCAGCATTTATTTCAGTTTCATTGTCTGAGAAAGGGTGTGGGAATGGTCCGTCACTTTGTCTGGGATGTGGGGAGCAATTTCCTGAGGAGTCCAGACATTCCCACCCTCTATATTCTGCAGAAACACTAAAAATAATTGGTCCTGTTTGGATCAGCATGGCTGGCAAAACTGACGAGGCAAAACTAAAAGTGATACCGTCTGGGGAAAATCAGTTGGGAGGGCTTTGATGCAAACACGCCTTGTTTCTTCCTTTCATACGGCTGTAAATAATAGGTGAACTTCACGCGTGAGCTGAACACCTGAGTCAGACCTACAACTTGGAGAAGGTTGAGCAAAAACAGCACGAAAGGAGAGATGGGGGAGTGCTGCGGCTCACATCGAAGCAATATCCTGATGTTTGTCTATGTGATCCCAGTTTCTGAGAAATTTAAAAGTGGCCACAGACAACAAGGTGCCGTTTCAATGCACATGATCAATGTAACCGTCTGCTACATCTGCAATGACAACACAGAAGAAGGGTGGAGACAGAGGTGAGAGAAGGAGCCTATTAGTGAAAATTGTGTATTATTAATTACCAATGAAAAAGCAGGGCAGGAAGTGAAGGTTTGTGTGTAAACAAACACAACCTTAGCACCCATCAGGAGCCGCCATGTATCTAAAATGCATTGTGTGCGCAGCTATGCATGCACCGTCTCTGTGCAGGAAGTGCACAGGCTACTGTCTGTTTTAGCTCCCTTCCTACTTCATTTAAGTCATCTTTTTTCAGATTGGCAGCCCCTGGCAAACAAAAGATTGGTAATGTGCCATCACTGTACCGAACAGCATGCCAGGGATACACTTTCATTTTCTTGCATTCATTTTAAGCGTCCAGAAAGGATTAAATACATGTGATGTTGTAATCCATCTCACTTGAATCAGATGGATCTACTTCTAAGTGAAAGGATTCACTGTTCTAAATGTAAAGTTGCAGCTAACTATAATAAACACGGACAGGCGTGCAAAGCCACAGCTGCCTGGAGGGCAGCGGTCGAGAGAGCCAAACATATGGTGGACACTGTTGCTGCTGTTGAACACACACGTGCTTGCCATGTGTGCAAAGGAGGCCGATGTGTTCTGGTCCACATCATTCTGAAACATGAACAGGGGCTTATGCATCTGTGGCACACATTTCTGCCATGTAAACATCTTGACTTTCCACTTAGAGCATGTCACATAAACTGCCTGGTTAATAAGCATTTAAACTGCCTGAAAACAATTTCTTGCATTAAAAAAAAAAAAAAGATCACTCTTTGATTCTTGCAAAATTAAATGAACCCATTTGGTAGTGGGTACATTCATTATGTAGAGTGAACAATAAATTAGCTAGGTACACTGGTTAAACAAACAATTATCAGTGTATAGACATGCAGATGCTGTCTTTAAGACACACAGTTTTACTCTCTATACCAAGTTTCAAAGAGGAACTAACTGATATGAACTTTTCCAGATAAAAGTTAATATCATCCGTTGGGTAGATACATATTTAGAATATCTATCTGATACTCTGTGACTCTGTGTGATCTGTAAGTAATGTTAAATCTTAAATAACTGCTTTTTTGGGCAGATGCAGTACTGTATACACCTTGTGACAACTACTCAAATACTAAATCTCATATTGAATAGTCATTCAGTCTCTAACTCTTAGAGGGGATGTGTGGCTAATTAGCACATAATTGCTCCATTATGTTCCCAAGTTACTTGCATTTTGGGCTCTGTGGTGTCGGCCAATCGTGACTAATGGCGCATCTTCTGCTTTTTGTGTCTGCAAACTCATGAGCACAAATAAGCTTGAAGCTTAAAAACAACATAAAAAGACAACAAAACCAGCTTTGATCTCTGCATGCCTGAAATAGGTTTCTTTGTCTCCTGGTGATCATAGTGACACACTCATTCTAACTTCTGAAATCTCACACAAAACAAGCTTGCAAGTACAAATCTGTCCACTCAGTTCAAGGTAAAGTGATTACTCGACAGCTAAATAAATGCTTTCACAGAGAGAATTTATCACCTGTGTTCCCTCTTATCGTCCACTGTCACAGCAGCCGTAAATACCATGAGGTCACAGCATGGTCCGTCACCCCCTCTGATGTCACTTGTGTGTCACTCTGAATTAGTCATGTGCTTTCACAAGGCTGTGCTCACTTAAAGGCTCATTCTTTTCCAGCTGCTGTTGTACTTCACCTCGGACAGAATACGATCATTGTTGCGGACGCTGCAATGCACCTTTATTGCCAGCAGATGGGGTAACAGGGTGTCAGACAACCCTTGGGGGCAAATGGAGGCAATCCTTTTGTGGTAAATTATTCTGTTTGGAGGGTTTTCCTCATGCTTTTTTTTTTTTTTGCCAATGTCACACCATTTCTCCTCACATAAAGCTCTTATTTCACTTGTGACATGTGGATTGAAAATGTAATAAGAGTACAGACAGGCAAGTTGTTACAATTTAGCCAAATTCTATCCCTGAAGCTTCGTGTTAATAGGCTTGAATCTGTAGAGAATACAAGGCAGGGCATGACAGGGGGAGCCACGCTGCCAAGATCATCACGGTTTCTTGTCCCGGGGCTCTTTTCAACATGGGATGGCAATTACCGTGTACAGTAAGTGGTAGATTAATAGTCTAAACGGGGTAGGCCTCCCGGTGAACAGAACAGAGCCGGAGCAGGGCAGGGAAACAGCTGTCACCCACACACGCCTGCAGCTGACGAGCTTTGCCACATACAGAGACTGCAGCTGACACACTGAATGGAAGACATTTTGGACAGTACGCTTGACACACATACAAACGCACGCAGGTCGGCACTCTCACTTACAGTACCGTCTCCTCACAGGACCCTACCCACACACACTTATCACGCTTCCCGACTGTCAGTTGTAGTTAGAAATTTAGCAGGTGGACACAGCTGTCTGAGATCATGACACCCGATCAGAGCATGATTTGTAATCATACATCACAGATGAACAAATGTGGAACATAAAACATTAAAAAGGCCATCTTTGGTCATGCATAGTCTATGTCCTACTTTTTAAAGGGCTTTAATAGTGCAAGCATGGCTACGCTGATTATCAGATGTTATGCATCTTGTGTGTTCTCACTGTTGTTAACCTCCCCCTGACACATGGCTTGAAATCAATAAATCAGAAAGAACTAATCCTTTAAAGACAAAAGCTTTCAGATTTGACAACCAAGGCAGCGTAAGTGAGAGATATCTATTATGCATCTTGACTGAAATTGTCACCGCATCTGTTTAAGAAACCACAAGACATCTTAATTACAGCCAATTAACACTGTGTGATAGAGCTCCATTTGGCAATCATTGGTGAGACAGAAAAGCTTTGCGTGTGTGTGTGTCTGTGTGTGTTTGGGCAGTGTGGGGGGTGGAAAAAGAAAAGAAGACCGGGAAAGAGGCAAGGGCCCGGGGCTTCAGGCTGCCACCATGCACCTATCGGCTTTTGGGTTGTGACTAGGGATTTGGGGCCAGCTCCTCTTGCTGTACAGGATGGCCCTTAGGGGCACGCTGGAGGCCACAGGCCACGACAAACCATGTGTGTGAATAACCCAGATGCTATGAAGAGGAGGAGGTCAGGAGCTGGGGGAAGGGTGCAGGGGGCCTAGAGGCCACAATATGAGTCAACAGCCCAACACTGACTGCCACGACAAAATGTTGCCTCAAGGGACTGCGGGTGCACAGATTTGCCCAGGCATTTCTTAGAAGAAGCATAAAGAGCCAGTGTCAGAAGTTTTCAATATCATATCCAAGTGACGAAAAACATGAATGGCCACTGTGCACATCACCACAGGCATCCCAGTGAAACAAAGAGGGACGGAGCAGAGGGCGGGGGGAGGGGAGGAGACACTATCAGTCTGTAATGAGCCTTGAGGCCATGCACGGGGTGAAGTTATTGAGAGGGTATTATGATCTAAATCTGTATTATGATCTGAAACACTAAGAACTGTTTTGCAAATACAAAAAACTGAAATATGATGCTTTGGAACCCCACGAAATCAGAAGTCACGAGTGAATTTAAAAATACAGCTGTTAGTCAGCTGTCAATCAGTTACTTTTGGACAATTTAAAAAGATGGCTCTGGGAAAATTATGACACAACTCATACAAATTTCATACACTTTACAGACAATTATTTGCAAATATTTAAAACAGCTCACCAGCTGGCTGAAAAATGCATTTCAATCTTTGCTCCGCAGTCATTTATATCTGAGACCCAGCACACTGACTAAGCTGGATACAGCATAACAGGGAGAGCTAGGTTGCAAGGAGAAGGTGGGTTGCCAAGCAGCTTGCAGAGGTACAGCAGCTGTCGGTGCCCTATATAAGAAATTTCCCAGAGGAATTTATTAGAATTATGTCAGCAGATGTGATCTGCTGGTACTGTGGCTGAGCCTGCCTGCATTAATGCTACTCTTAGTATCTGTGGTTACATTATTTGTGGATGTTCAATTTGATTCCTAATGTTGCTTCTTAATCTGATTTTCACCCCGGGTAAGTGATCTGATACTCTGATGTATTGGCAGGTTTTC